GGTGAACTATTGGTCGACAACCAACCTCGTTCAGGGCCACCCTGAAACTCCTCAGCTGATGAAAACATCGAGAAAATTCGAGCACTGTTCTCTTCGAGTTTGTTCCTTCTGGTGAAACAGCTAATCAGGTGTTTTACTTGGGAGATTTGAGAGGCTTGCGCAACTGAGGCAGAAAGGCCCTGATTTGTGGGAAAGGGAAAGTGTGTGTGTGTGGGGGGGGGGGGGGGGGGTCATCACGACCATGCACCGGCACACACTCTCCTGTCAGTGCAACAATTTCTGAACACAAATAACATCACAGCCCCTCTAACCCCCCCCCCCCCCCCCCCCCCCCCCCCCCTTCTCTTTTCATCGGACCTCGTTCCTTTCTCTTCGTCCGCATGAGAAAAGTCCTGAAAAGAAAACGTTTTGTGACGTTTATGCAGTGCTATCCCGTGTGCACTGTTGTGCTTATGGTTTTCATATGGTTGCTTACGTTTCGCAAGTTTTCATTATTCTGCCTTCGTGTGGGCCACGGTGAGTGATGTGCGGGGGGGGGGGGGGGGGGGCGGGGGGGTGGAGGGGAGGGGGTCGACGCCTTGTCGGGCATTTAGTTGCCTTTTGCGACGGCCCCCTAAACAACTGTCTGATGTATGTTGTCTGAATAAAAAAAAATTGAATTGAATTGAATGTGGGATGATAATTCAAATCAAACATTGCCAAAGCGAAAAAAAAAATTGAAGCGTTGGGTAAAAAAAAGAAATTAACATGGCGCCAGAACTTTAGCAGACGAAGGAAGGGGACGCTACTAGCGTCGGAAGCCGGTACGTATACGAACGTCCCGCCCTGCAGAAATCAGATCTAGTTACTTTTAAGTCCCCCCTCGTAGCGGCGACGTCCAAACATACTTTAGGTTTCACCAGCTTGTTTGAAACGGCGTCTCTGGAAAACAGAGCGGCCAAAACTGGCGCTCGAGCTGGAGAGGATCGCGAAGCGCGAAGTTCTTGCGGTTACCATAACTTCGCTATTTCGCGGCTCCCCATATGCTCCAAAGCGCCTGATCACTACCTTTCCCCTTGCCTATCGCGATCTCCCCTTCACGTGTGCGAGCATGATCACTGCGTTGTGTTCGACATTTAAGACAAGGAAGCTGTGTCTCAGCAAAACATCGGCCGCCATTCCGATTCCACGAGGTTGCGTATCAAGTCACGGTGAAAAAAAAAAAAAAAATCGTATGGAGTTGCGATTTGCTTGCGCTTGAATCTGTCTGCCGCCTCGCGAAGCCGGCGCGGTCTTGGATACAAAACAGCCTGCGTGGCGAAAGAACGAGGATGTCAATCATAGAGCGGTTGTTGCGCACTGGGACAATTAGTCGCATATTTTTGTGTATATGTGAGATAATCGACGCGAGGTATCTTGCTGCATTAGACGATTATTCAGCTGTGCTAACCATACACACTTTATTATTTTTTTCACCGTTGTTTTGTCATTTTTTTTTCGAAACCGGTGGTCGCCATTTTTCCAACGCGTTGCGGATGTCATTCTGAGTTTTCACTTGGCGACGATGTGTCGTCAGCTTTGCAGGGGCGACGGACGCAAGCGGCTCGCGCCAAACCGGTTTGACCTCGTCGCCTCTTGGAGGGACGGGAAAGAAGATGAACCCAGAAGAGAATTCCTCTCGACTTCTTCGTTCCCGGCCGTTTGTCTTCTCTGGCACACCGATAAAGTGCCGCCCGCACGGAGGCTCCGACGTGGGTGGCGTCGTGAAGACAGTGCTGGCCGTCGTACCCTGTTTCCGTATTTGCAATTTGAAGAAATCCGCCTCCGGCTGCGAGTCTCTTGCTGTCGAGCTATTGACAGAATGGCGTTAATGAAAGGATATTGTTTCATTGGCGCCATTAGCTTGCCGGGATGTGCATATACTGAACCGTTATCTGAAATTGGTACTGAAACAAATATATTTTGGCTGCGTTATGACAGTGTTCGTCGCTTCGTAACTGATGTTGCCGCTACCATCCTTGCGGCGATAGTGGTGTGATCGGACCAAAATATTGGTGAGTCTCTTATCAGGCTGGTGCTGTGTTCGGATAAACTTAAATTGTTAGTCAATTTCTTTTTTTTTCATACACAATAAATTAATTATAGTGTAAACAAAAGCACAAACTCGCACGTTCATATGAGCCAACATAGAACTGATCCAAAGCCATCTTTGCATAAATCTAGAAAAGCGCCCCGATTGTGGCAGCTGAGATACTGTAAAACGGCAGGCAGAAATTTGAACTCATGTAATACTCAAAAAATACAGCCGACATTGAAACGAACAAAAATATTTGCATTTGCTTTGGTGCGCCCAGTAAATGAATTGTCCATTGCAGCAAGCTGAAGCTCTGTCACAATATGACATATTTTTACTATGACAAAGCTTAGACTGAACATGACAGAAGTGAGACAGAGCATGACGAAAGCCATACCGATCATGGCAAAAGTGAGAATGATATTTGGGCAACTAGGTGGAATTGAATTTCTTTGAATGATATGTTCTTGATGCGACGTTTGTTATTGAAACATTCAGCATTACAATTTTCGACATACAAGTTTAAATTCTGATAGTATATAATACTCTCGAGTAACATTGCCAAAAGTGTTCACAGGGTGCTTACCAACAAAATTATGTCAAAGCCGATCCCAGCCACCAAATCCCCCATTTTTAAAACCATGGTTATAGAGATTATGACGTGAATATTGAGGAATGCAAAACATGTTCGCACTTCATGAAATCCACGAGCAACCATGACAAGCTTTCAAGTGAAAGGCTAATGCAAGCGTGCACTCTCATGGTATATTCGTCTCGTCACTTTCGAGCACTCCAATCATCTGAGTCGTAGCTACCAGATCCCGGAGCGCCTCCGCATCGGAGCGAGAGAATCGGCGCGCCCAGCCGAACGCTCTTCAACTTTTCAGAGCGGCAAGCCGAGCGGATAGAGGGTGGCGTGCGCCACTACAGGACGGCGCGAGCCGCCCTCTAGCGGAACTTTTGCTCTTTGGATTCAAAGGGTTGAGCAGTATTCAGTGATCCATCCATCCGTAAATCCTTGAAAAATGGCAACCGTCAACGCGGACGCTGATAAGGTCATCGCAAGCCAGCCGTGCCAAGCGGAAGTTCCTGCGAAACTATAAAAAAAAGACAACATTACAGCTTGAAAACTCTCGTACTTCTGTACTTACCGCTTTGTCCCGAGTAGGTTCGCACTATAAAAACATAAGCCTTGACCTTGGGCACCGTACAAGGCAACGTTGGTACAAGGCAACGTTGGTACAAGCCAACGTTAGGTACAAGGTGCGTCAAACAACTCGGCAAACTTCGCTTCGCAAACACGGTCCTCGTCGTCGTAGTCCGAGCTGCTGGTGTTGTCGCTGTCTGCTAGCTTCGCCAGCAGCACTGGCGGTGCCACCACTAACATTAAACGTCTTCGTTTCAACGACATTTCACCTCAATTCGGGGAGCACAACACAACGGTGACGGCGTCAAGACTGACGGCTGTTTTTCGCAGCCCTCTTTTTGCGGAGTAGCTGCGTTCTCGCCGTCCGCTTCCGACACAAAAGCAAAATGGCGGAATGGCTGGAGTCACGTGACCGGTCGGCAGCCAGATCTCTCGCGCGCTCCCACTTCCAAGTCAGAGCGCCTCAAACCGCTCCGAGTCGGAGGCCGGAGAGAGTCGGAGCTTCGAGAGCGCTCCGAAAGAACCAGGCGAATATACTTGGAGCGCCTGGCGTCGACCAGCGAATGCACACCGGCTTTTCAGAGCGCTCCAAGAGGCCGAAAAACGACCAGCCGAATATACCATTAATATGCGCGCGAGGTTTCTGCTCCACAATCCATAATATCCATAACCATTTGAAAACTTCCATACCGGAGATTTGTGAAAAAAAAATGGTGTGTGTGTATGTTTGTACAGCCTTAGTCTGCCTAAACGGGCGACTTGTCTCCCAGCTGTAGATGAGAAATTTAGCAAGTGCGGTACAACCGCTAGAATGGGGTTTTGGGGTACTCTGGCGATTTCTTCATGGTCCCCGATTTGCTTGAGATTTTGCTAAACTCGCCAAACAACATCGCCAAAATAGTATCCCAACTATTAGGTCAAAATAACTTTTTTTCACGAAGTTATTGAATTTACAATTTTGGTCCTCACCGTGTTTTTCAAACTGAAAGTCTCTACTGGCAACGACGAAAAAGTGACGTCAGTGGAAGTGCAGGGGTTCACTCTTGATTCGAAGCAGTTTCATGGTGTCAAATGAATGCTTTGGAAGCTCGCTCCAGTCCCCGCGCTCCAGCACGGAACGAATGATTGGCATATTCTATTTTTTAGACTGCTCGCTCGACTGGCAAGCTTCCCTTCCACTGACGTCACGGCACTGAAAAGTGCCGGTATATTTGAATGTTGGTTTTTGCATAATTTTCATTTGCCGATTTCGCAATAACTATTATGAATTTCGCGATACTAAATAGCATACCGGAAAGGGTAAAGGCCGGGGAGTCAGAAAATATAGTTAGTTGAGGTAGCTCAAAAAATCGCCGGAGTACCCCTTCAACGTGCTCACGCAGTAGTGATACACGACCGCACGCCGGTACGATGCTTATCTAGATCGAAACGGGCAGAGGTGGGGATTGAATCCAGGATCCCTGGGTCACGGTGCCCTGGGTTCTGCAGCGCAAGCGTTTGCTCCACGTGCTCCGAGTTGGTGTATGCTAGCCTACTCGGTCACCGATCCCCCGAAGATTTGTGAAAATATTTGTTTGAGCGCTTCGCTATCATTATCACCATTGGCACGCGCCCTTCGCACCTGCCGAACGCCGAGATAAGGAAGACAATTAGGGCAGAACGTCGCCGCCAAACGCCGTCATGAATCCTCCCTCTAAGAGGCATTCTTCTTGGACGGGCACTGCTGGAACCCCGTCCGGCCAGCCTTCCGCGTCGTCAGACCCCCAACCGAAGCGGGACTCGGCAATCAGGCGCACGTCCATGCAACTGATCCAGATGACGGGCATGGTCAAGCGAGCCAGCATCGTCTCCTCCAAGCATCCCAGCTCGGAGAGTGAGGAGGCCTCCAAGCCCGTCGTCTACCACTCGACCATCCTCGGTGTCGTGCTCGCCATCGCGTCAAGCGCTGTGCTCTCCCTAGTCAACGTCATCATCAAGCGACTGCCGACGGTCAGCATCCTGGAGGTACTCACCTTCATGGCGTTCGGTGTCTTCATCGGCATTTTACCGGCGGCCACCCATGAGGTCGATCCGTTCGGCAGCCGGCAAGCGCAGCCGCTGCTCTTCGTACGCACGGTCCTGTCTTCAGTGGCGTCATTGCTGCGCCTCAGCAGCCTCTCGTACCTCTCGGTGGCGGATGCCTCCATAGTCGCCAGCCTCACGCCGCTCATGGTGTCCCTTACGGCACTCGTGTTCTTCTCGGAGCGTTTTCACTGGACGCAGGGCGTCGCCGTTGGCACTTGCGTCTTCGGCCTCGCACTCCTCACCAAGCCGCCCATCACGTCCTCGATGGACACCTTCGCGAAGGCTCAGTTCATCGGCATCGCTTATGGCCTGGCGCACACGGCTCTGAACGGCGTAACCACCGTCTGCATTCGGGCCATCAAGGGGGTGTCCAGGAAGGTTGTGGTCTTCCACTATGGCTGCCTCTCAATGCTCCTAGTCTCTCTCGTGTCCGTGGCCACCAGCAAGATGAAGATCTTTTACGAGGGCTCGCAAATCGGCTACCTCCTCCTCATCTCTCACCTCACCTTCGCCACCCAGATGTTTTTGACCAAGGCGTTGCAGGTGGAGAGCTCCTCCGTGGTGATCGTCATCAAGACGGTTTCGGATGTGATCTTCGGCTTTCTGTTGCAGCTCGCCTTCCTGCCCGACTGGCCGGACCCGTTGAGCTACATCGGTGGATTGTTAGTGACCGGAAGCGTGGTACTCATCGGTTTCAGAAAGGTCGTCGTCAACTCAGCGCAGGAGTCTGCCGTCAGGAAGCGTTTTAACTTTCTCATCTAGCCACTGTGGTGCGCCATCTCCAGTGGTTAGCTGGTGATTAATCATTCTAAATGAATTGTCAAGTTGATCACCATCATAACTATTAAACGAATTGAGGCATCTTGCACGTTCTTGCTCGTCGGTTCCGAGGTTTGTGATGGCAGATTCGGAAATATTGCGACATAAACGTTCTCCTCTATAGGCCTTGTTTTGCCAACTACAATTCGGGGAGCAACTAACGCACCCTCGACCCGGTGCATTTAAATTGCTACGCTAAGGTACACGGCATGCAAACGCGAAGGATATGGACGCGAAGACCATGCCGGACCCCGCACAACACCGCATATCACTTGTCGGCCATCGTCAACAAAACCACGTGAACCCCGTTCAAGTACCACGTGACGCCTGCGCCGCTCCACACTCCGACGACTAGACTGAGCTGAGGCTGCGGTAGAAGCTACGTCCTCGTTGGACCAGTCAAACGTCTCTCTTTCGCCACGTGATCACACTCCTGCCCATGGCCACGGAGGTGGCTCAGGTGGTAAGAGGGAAGCGGCTGATTGGTCCGGCGGGCACGTACCTTCTCCATTACATGCAGTCTCAGCTAAGCGCTCTGAGAGGAAGGCGTGCCGTCGGAAAGAACCAACCGATCAGGCCACCGCACTCTTTCCACCACCCGATCTCGCGCGCTCTGGAGTTTGAGTTCGAAGGAATGTTTATTAAACAAAAATTGCAAGAGATTCGAAAAGGTATGTCTTTATTCTAGCGATGCGATGGCCACCAGACCTGGCATCTTTTTTTCTGTATGACAATGAGATCATTGTTGAGGAGGTGAAGATCCTTATATATATATATATATATATAACAAAGTTTATTCAGAAATTAAGCATCCATACATTTCACTCAGTCTCACAAAATAGCGTGCTTGCTCATGAGTGTGAGTACACAGTTCAGCATAAATTTAACAAATCGAAAGACGTTATACAAAACTAAGTGGATACTACTGATAAGAGTCCTACTTATGTAGGACTGAAAATAAAGTACAATGAAAACAAACACAACCTAGTATACAAGCACAAACGTTGTGCCAGTAGTCATTAAATGAAATCAACGATTTTTATCATGGATGAAGAAAGAATAAAACAATTAAAACAGGGACAACACAACCACATCAAGATGTGGTTGTGTTGTCCCTGTTTTAATTGTTTTATTCTTTCTTCATCCATGACTTAAACCAACACGCTCTTCTCCCAAGCATATCTATTTTTACAGAATAATAATTCATATAGATTTCGCAAGACCACAAAGAACACAAAAAAAGTCAACTCTCGCGCTTAAAAACACGCGAATACCAAACAGGCGTGCTTGTACTCATGAAACCTTACAGACGCCAAAAAGCACGAATCTGGGAACTATATATTGTTCATTTGACGTACTACTCCATTTGCGCATTTGTTTTTCACTTGTGCTAATAATGGTAGATTAAGTAAACTAGAAGGGAGTTTATTGAAATATGTTGCTAGATAATAATTCTTCAACCTTTTACCATAGTATATATATATGTATATTTTTTTTCGGCATGAGAAATCTTGTTGAGCTTTCAGGGTTTTTCTACTATGTGAAATCTTTCTGTATGTCTTAGTTGTTTTTGTTTGGTGGATGTTTTGAAGTCACGCGTGAAACAATATTTTGTGAGGGCAATGCATTTACGCAGGTCTTCTACTGTTAACATTTGAAGTCCTACTGCTGTTTCTGAAACGAAAGACCTTCCAAGTGTGTATTATAAGCCGTTTTCTGTATGATTCTTTTTTTAAAATTAGGTTATTTATTTTTCGTAGTTTGTATATTGATGAAAATGCACAAATGGTTATGCCATATATTAGTTTAGAACCTGCTAACATCTGGCAAATTAATCTTCTGAGTTTAATATTCTCAGAACTCATTATTCGCAGGTTTTCGAATATGGTCAATATGGTGATTCTAGAATAAATACTCGTTAAAATATATATCAAGGTGTCTGGTTTCACTGGCGTAAAGTAGTGGTGAGCATGAGCAATGCCGACATTCCCACGAATGCAAAAATATAGGCTGAGTGAGATTAATGGTAAGTTCGAAAGTGCATTTGACTCGACTTGTCATTGTTCACGAAAATATAGGTTTTTGAAAACCAGCTCACGATTTGTTTGATATTTTCTTGCTAAAATGGAAACCGCAGTAATATAATCTTCGTGTGTGATAACTAAGGCTATGTCGTCAGCGTATTTATACATCTTTTATTTAAAAAAATGTAAAGCTAAATAGTTCACATAAATGTTGAATAGCATGGGACCGAAACCGAACCCTATAAGGCACACCGCAGGTGAGTTGTGCAGCAGAATTTGTACTATTTGCTATTCGAGCTCTTTGGATTCTACCAGTGAAGAAACCTTTAAAGAATGTACGGAAATGTCCTCTGAACCCAATTTTATCTGGTTTTTTAACCAAAAGTGAGTGATCTATTGAATCGAACATTTTTGTCAGGTCCAAAAATAGCGTTGGCGCTATTTTGTTGTTATCTATTTGTTCATTAATGAAGTTTGTTATATCGTCTAGTAAAAGTATCGTGCCTCTTTGCTGCCGGAACCCACAATAACAGTTCCTTATTAGTGAAAATTGAAACGAGGGCATGATTTGTATAACAAATGTTTTCATTGTCTGCAAAATTGCCGGTAACAGCGCAATGGGTCTGTAATTAATTCATTCTTTCTTGTTCTTTTTTAAAAAGGCCGTACTAATGGAACTTTTAACTTACTGGGTATATTTCCTGTTGACAACACATCATTTAATATATCAAGAAGAACGACATATCATTTTTTATATCTCTGAATCTTATTTCATCAAATTCTGCTGGCTTTATTATTGGCATAATGTTAACTATATGTGTTCTAGATCCGATTTTGTCATTTGGGGCAAGTACGCAGAATTAGCTGAATAACCTAATGGCTTAGCTTTTCCTATTGTGTTGTTTACGTGGTTACGCAAGTCTTATACGTTTGTAATAAAGGCATCATAACAAAGGCATCATAAAGCCCATTGCTGAGCTTATCAAACAAAGTCAGTTGCTGAAAATGTTCTGTATACATGCGTCTTCAATATCTTTAGGGGGTCTGCCAATTATTTGATTTACAATGTCTCATGTTTCTCTTAAGTTCTTTCCGCACTGCTGGAGTTGCGTGATATGAAATCTCCTTATATAGTAAGTCTAATTTCTGCAGTGAGGTTATATCGTAGTCGTCTAAATTCTTCCATTAATTTTGTATCACGCGGGTTTTGTTTACATCTATTCCATTACCTGTTTTTTTAGGGACTCATTTCTAGTATTTCTTTGTCGATCCAATCATTTACCTGGTTTTCTCGGCATTAATTTCATTGTGCTAGCGAAATGTTTGCATATATTTTTTTTCTTAATTTTTAAATAACGTGGACACAGTTACAGTTGCGCACGAAAGGTCAGGGACAGAGAAGAGAGACCCGTAGACGACTGACAAGTTCCTCTCTCTTTCCCTGTCCTTTTCTGCGCAACTGTAACTATGTTCAATCAATCAATACTAACTCACCCAACGGTCTACATTACTTCAAATAAAGTATCGTAGAAAATGATGTGATCTAGATGAATCGAATATTTCCAGTTATATCTCCGGATAGTGTCGTCTATTTTCTTCTTGTCAAGGACTTGTTTACGTACGTTCATTTTCTCTTGTCACGGTCGTATGCTCCTTGTTCATTATCGAGCGCAACAAAATAATGATCGACTACTTTTTGTTTGATATCATAAAATTTAAGTTACTCTGCCTTACTATCAAGTGATCAATGCACAATTTGGTAACTGGATTACCGAGGTACTCTTCTCTCATGCAGTCGTCAATTAAATTATATAAACCGTAATTGGACAATATAACAAGCTATTTTGTGACTCGATCATTTTCCTGTGGCACATGATATCGATATTAATGTCGCCTGCTAGAACAAGCTGATAATTTTTATTAAACGTATTTAGTAGTTTAAAAAAAATTTTGATATAAAAATTCTAAATTATTGTTAGGCGGTCTATACACAGCACATATTGTAAATGACAGTTCTGCCTTATGAATAGTAATCACAAGAAGTTCCGCGTGATTCAGAGACAGCTCGATATGGTCAAATAACCTGGTACTTTTTTTAGGTATACGAGAATTTCTCCTCCTTTTCTGCCTTGTCGGCGTGCCGAAATTACATGAAATTTATCGAAATGAAAAGACAAAGGTCCAGTTGCCTCGATGTTTATTTCGGTTAGTATTATCATATCTATATCAATCAAAACATCCCACAGGTATACATCTAATTCGCTCCAGTGTTTCTTAAGGCTTCTAAGATCAATTCGAATAAGGTGAAGAATCTGTTTGATGTCTTCTCTTCCGTCCTCGACTAGTATCGTGTGCATCTATACGTATCACAGCTGCGCCGTCTCTCCGCCTCACTAAACTTTTCCCGTTGCTCATCCAGACATATATGTAGGCCTTTACCCGTATACATATATATATATATTTTGCGTTCTAAAACAGCCATCGCTCGAGCTTCGTCAGATTCTCGTGGACGAAATACGGTCGGATTTTAATGCCGTGCGCTTCTTGGCCTACCTCTATCTCTCTCTGACCTGTCATTGAAGCGCACGATGATTGGAGGCATTTTTCGTTCCTTTGTTTTGAATCTGTGCAGGGATTCAATCTTATCAGGCTGAGGCACAGGCAGGTCAAGCATTACTGCCAGATTACCGAGAACTGCTTTGATGTCTTTTTGATTATTTTGTACGATACCAGGTATTTCTCTGCTTTTCCGCCGCCGTGGATATTGCTGACCGTTTTCAACCACCGATTCAAGTTCTTTTGATTCGCGCGTCTTTCTCTGTACCGAAACTTTGAAGTTCTTTTTTTTTCTTCTTTTTTTTCAGCTCGTTTATAATACGCGAAAGTGAATCAACTTTCTTTTTTTTTTTATTAAGTCAC